ATACGCCATCCCCTTTTCCTTATAAATCAGGGTGAAGTCTCTCTCAGGGAGGAGTGATAGGGAATGGCAAAGGACACACTGACAAAGGCGATTAATCAGAACTGGCTTTGACAAGCACTGTGGCAGTTGGACAATTAAAACAGACATTCGGGGGGGGGAGAAGAACGAACTGGGGAGCAGGGTAGAGAAAACAGTGCAAGAATGAATGAATGAGAACCCCAAATCTCTGTAAATGTTCATTAAAACTAATAAAATTTAATAATAATTACAAAAAATATTTGAAATAAAAACCAAACAAATACCAAAATAAAAACCTATACTTGGAGTAGGAAGCAGTTGTCAGACCAGAGCAAGGAAATACTGCATGGTTCGAAATTGGGAAGGCTGCATCAAGGAAGTGTTCTGTCTCTATATCTTTTCAATCTATATGCAGAACATATTATTTGGGAGGCTGGGCTCAACGAGGAGAAGTGTGGCATCAGGATTGGAGGCAGACTCATCAACAATCTGTGTTATACAGATAACACAACCCTGCTTACTGAGGAGGACCTGAAGTGCTTGCTACAGAAGGCCAAAGACTGCAGCCTTCAATATGGATTGAAGCTCAACATCAAAAAAACAAAGATCCTCACTACTAAGCCAACTGACAGCATCATGATAGACGGTGAAGAGATGGAGAATACTGACAGCTTCAGCTTGCTTGGCTCTGCAATCAACACTCTTGGTTCCAGCAGTCAGGAAATTAAGATGAATTGCACTGGGAAAGTCTGCTGTCAGAGACCTCTCCAAAGTACTGAATAGCAATGAGGTCAGGCTAGAGACTAAAGTGCGCCTGATAAAGGGCATGGTCTTTGCCATTACTTGCTATGCGTCAGAATGCTGGACAATGACCAGGGATAATATAAGGATAATTGATGTGTTTGAGCTGTGGTGCTGGAGAAGAGTATTGATTATACCATGAACTTCTAGGAGAACAAACAGGTTTATCCTAGAGAAGGTGAGACCAGGTTGCTCCTTGGAGGCAAGGATTCTGAAGCTTCATCTGACATACTTTGGACATGTTGCAAGGCAGGACCTGTCATTGGAGATGGACGTCATGCTTGGGAGGGTGAAGGAACAGTGCAGGAGAGGAAGACCCTCTATGAGATGGATTGATTCAGTCACTGCCGTACTGGGGATAGGTGTGTCGGAGACAATACAATTGGCAAGGGATAGAGCGGTAGAGCAGGGTTTAGGGCTTTTGTACATAGGGTCTGCTGTGAGTTGCAGGTGACTTGACGGCACATAACAAAAACAACAACAACAAAGTCCTTTCTATCAAATACAATATCAGTTAAAGTAGCTGTCTCTTAAAACAAGGTTATATTTGCTTTGAAAGAAATGATTGATGAAGTGACGTTTAATATGGTGAATACATTCAGGAAGAGGCCGAGGATAGTGACAGCAGGTGGCACTCTGAACCTACTGACTATAGGATAAGGGAGTAAATGACAAAAGAAGGAATCTAGTCGAATTACATAGGAAGCACTGAAGGGGAAAGAGGCAGGTGAACTCTAAGCATTGTTTCTGAAATAGAAACTTCTGAAATCCTAAAGTCAATTCCTAATAAGTCAAAAGCAATCTTTGAACTTAACAAGATAGTTCTTCAGTCTGTAAAACATCACTTCGCTCACATTTAATAAATGTTCCCTTCTCACAACTCCAGTTGTCCTTATACTTCACATGTTACCTTTTAGACAAATACAGGTTATTTGCTAAAGAACACTGAAACCTCCATACATCAAAATGGTCATGAGATCTAACCAGTAAGAATAAAGAGATTATTTGTTATGACTGTACTATTCTTTCAAAGTTTAATTCCTTTCAGTGAGAGAAAATTCACCTGCTAAAACAGAATTTATAAAGAAATGTTAAGTATTGTATTAAAAAAACAAAACAACTTTAAGTATTAACTTATGAAGAGCCAAGACTATAGTTTTCATTATGGCCACACCTCAATGTTTAAAGAAAAGTTTTTACAGCTGGACCAATAAACAGAGAGACAATGGAAGCTGATAAGTATCTAATTTAACTTGGATATAAACTATCAGCTGTCAAGATCGCAGTCAAGAAATCAACTGCATTGGGCAACAAGAAGTAAACATGGCACTCGGAGACCAAGATGTGCCTAACTCACATCATGGTGTTTTTCAATCACCTTATTCTCATGAAATCGGACAATGAAAACATAAAGTCAAGGAAAATTGATGTTTCTGAAATAGGATGTTGGTGAGGAACACTGAATGGGCAACCAGAAGAAATAAATCTATGAGGAAAGAGTACTATGCTACAGGTAAGAACAGAGAAGCTTCATCTCACGTATTTCAGATATGGTATCAGGAGAGACTTGTTTGTGGAGAAGGATATTATGCTTGAATATTGTGATTGACACAGAGGCTTCGACCATGGGTTTATTTTTTGTTCTGTTGTACACAGCATCTCTATGAGCTGGTATTTTTGTTCTGTTGTACACAGAGTCTCTATGAGCTGGTAGCAAGTCAATGGCATCTAAAACAAAAAGCTCTCTCTATATAAACAACTTCAATAAAATGACAAGCAAAACACACACACACACACACACACACACACACGTTCTTCACTAAAAATAAGCGGGATCCATGTAAAAACTACACATATGAACTTCAGATACAAAAGAATCCTCATTTAAATTCTTACAATCTTCACTAAAACGGAAAACTCAATATTAACTTCATAATTGAAGAAAAAGTCCTAAAATAGTAAAAACAATATTGAAGAAAAACAAAGAAATGGTTGGCCATCATACTCCCAGATATCCAAACATACTATCCAGCCACTGTAACCAAAGAGTTTTGTATTAGTCAAATGACAGACACAAACCTATGGAATAGAACTGAGAACTGAGAAGCCAATCCATTTATGGACAACTGATTTCCAAAAAGGAGAAAAAACAGTCTGTTTAACAAAAAAGTGCTGGCAAAACTAGAAGTCTACTTGCAGAAAACTGAGGTAGGATCCACATCACACACCACACAAAAAACCAAAACCAAAAAACCACCCAACTGAAAACAGATTAAAATCATCTATGCTAAATCTAATGATATAAAGTTTCTAGAAGAATCTAAAGACAGAAAACATAGTTACTAATTTTTTTTAATAGGCTAACAAACATCATTATAAATGAACAACTAGCAGGAGAGAAATTAAATAACTGGTATCTCATAAATATTAAATATGTGTATTTTTCAACCGGAAGCAGGAGTGGCATCCACTTCCTAAACGACATGCCTCAGGAAACTCTATGAACTTTGATAAATGTCAATAGTTATAGAAAGGCTTCAGGCCTCTTGTTCATAGGGTCACTAGGAGTCGTACTTGATTCAAAGGCAATCAACAACCATAATGTATTTACCAAAAAACTTCATCAATATGGATTGCACCTCAATATCAAGAAAACAAAAGTCTACCACCATGGTGAGTGTTATGGAGAAAACGGTTGATAGATAGATTGAGGTTGTTAATAATTTCACCTTGCTCAAAGCCATAATCAACACTCTTAGTATTAGAAGACAGGAAATCAAAAGATAAATGCTTTGGGAAAATCTGCTGTCACTCTCTAGAGTGTTGAAGAGCAATGATATCACTCTAAGAGAGTAAGGTGTACCTGGACCAGGCCTTGGGCTTCTCAGTTCCTTGCTATGCATCTGAGAGCTGGATGATGACTAAGGATGACAGAAGAAGAATTGATACCATTGAGTTATACTGCTGGTGAAGAGTATTGAACATACCATGGACTGCCAAGAGAACAAAAAAGTCTGTCCAAGAGAGAGGGTGAAACCAGGCTGCTCCCCAGAGGCAAGAATTCTAAAACTCTATCTCACATGCTTTGGACATACTGTTAGAAAGGTCCAGTCCTTGGAGAAGGACATCATGCTTGGAAGGTAGGAGGGACTGCCCAGGAGAGGAAGGGCCTGGATGAGATAAACTGACACAATGACTATGGTGATGAGGTCAGGAGTGTCAGAGATGGTGAGGTTGGCTCAATATAAGTCAGGGTTCATAAGGTCAAAAGGGGTGGTAATCAACTCATCAGCACATAACAACTACAACAATAGTCAGAATGACAATAAAAAGAAAATGTTCAGAAAAAGTTACCTGGTTCTAAACTGCGAACTTCCACAGACAGTTTGGAAGGAGGAATATCTTCAGCTGCTATGAGCCAATCACTATTCCGCATCCGTTTATACTCCACCTTGAAGGCTGTAATGGGAGAGCCACCATTTGCCCGAGGAATCCAAGTGACATAGACTGAAGTCTCTGATGCAGTGGAAATGGTGGGCCGGTCTGGCGCCTCTGGAACTAAAACCAAAAATACTCACTTTAGAAACTCATAGTGTAAGATAGAACAAACTAAGTAATAAAACTGGCAAAATGGCAGTGAATACAAGTGCTGGGTTTGGTTATAAGGCAGTTAGTTACCTATGCCTATCTACTTTTGAATATGCTTGAAAACTAATTCCAAAATGAAAAGAAAGAAAAACAAAATAACGAAATAAAAATCTCAAACTTCATTTTATTGGTAGTTCTTTAGATTTTTGCCAGGGTTAACAATATGACCACTATTTTACTGTCTTCTATTAAAAATCTAATGCAAAACAAAATGGTGAACTAATAAAAACAAAGTTCATTGCTAAACCATATATAAGCAATCATTGATACTTTGTGTCTAAATGTGCATATAATTTACAATATTTTTTAGAGCTACATGTTATTTCATTTTTCATATTTCAATAAACATGGGCGCGGATATGGGTCTGACTTGACGTCATTGAGTTTGAGTTTTATATGCTGGTCACATTTCAAGTTAGTAAGCTGCCATTTGGGTTTTCAATGATCATCTGTTGTTGTTAGGTGCTATTTTGTCAACTCCTCACAGAGGCCCTGTGAACAATATATCTGAACTTTGGCTTTCCTGACCACTTCTCACATTCTCCACCATGCTTAAGTCTATTGCTGCAGCCACTGTGTCCATATATCTCATTTAGGGTTTTTCTCTCTTTCACTGACCTTTTCCAGTATGGTGTGTTTTCCCAAAGATTGTCCCCTCCAGGCAACATGTCCAAAGCATTTGTGCAAAGTTGTGTTAGTCTTGCTTCTAAGGAACACCTTGGATGCACTTCCCCCCAAATTTTTTTGTTGGTTCATTCGGCAGTCCATGGGACACTCAATACTCTTCACTACTCCAACAGCACAATTAAAAGGCATCAATTCTTCTCTGGTCTTTCTTATTTGCTGTCCAACTCTTAGATGAATGTGAAGCACCTTGTATGTACTGTAAATACAAGCTGGTTTTCAGAGATAGCCTATCTCTTGACATACTGACAATCAAGTGTCTAGGACGGAAATATTAAGGTTATGGTTGCATTACTTTGGGGAACTCTGTCTCAACACTGCTTACAGCTGCCATTATGTGGACTCTAAGACTCATGAGAAAATCAGGCCCAGCAGACAAATGTGCTGCTTCATGCTGTGCTATCTTCATGGTCATTGGTACACTACAGCAAGTGGGTCCATCTGCTAGCACTAGACTGGACAACATATATTGTGCTTTCACTTGCCAGTATTTGAAAGCAGTTGCCAGATCTTTCTTTCCAATCTGTTTCTGTCTGGAAATCCTGCTGAAACCAGCCCACAGGATGACCTTGTTCATATTTCAAACATTGATGTATAAGCCTCTGCAATAAGATAGATTGACAGATGGGTAGTGGAATATAAAAACATAGGAAGATAGGTATATATACTAAAGAAATGAAGATCTGTGACACAGTTATATTCACACCCATGTTTACTGCTGTGCTACTTATAACTTCAAAGAGTTAGCAGCAACACATGTGCTCATTAACAGATGAATGAACGGCTAAAGAAACTGTAATTACACAATGGAATAGTAAGTACAAATTAAGAACATAAGTCACTAAAGGACAGTTACAGTGTAAGACCACTAAAAAAAAAAACCCAAAAAAACCCAAACCAAGAAACAGTTTACACACAGAAAAAAACATTGGTCTTGGAGGGTTAACAGAGACACATAAGAATTGAGGGAGAAGGCAGCAAAAACAGAAAAATAAAATGAAATAAAATAATAAAAAGGGAATAAAATTTTTTTGCAAAGTACATAAAATAGATAAGATATTTACATTTTAAAAAGAGTGTATTTTTACTTCCCTAGTATTTTTATCTCTATTTTTGAGCTATAGATTGACAGGGTGGGAAGACAGGGAAAACCCCAAACACACAGGAAGGAAAAGAATGTGGAACACTTCCAAGGAGGAAACTGGGCCATTTAAAACACAGGCTGAGGGATAAGAAAAAAACCAAATGTATGCAAAGCTGGCTATTTTGAGTTATACTTACTGCATTCCTTTCAAGTTAGAAAGCGAAGGAAACAGAATAAACAGGACTGTTAGTGAATCTAACCCTTACTTTATACTAGATGAGATAACTTGCTACATCAATTCAAAGGAAGTTAAAACTCATCAAAGAGTACCACCGATCAAATAGGAAAAGAGTCTCCTCCATCCACATTGTCATTATCCAGTCTTACCTTTTCCTATTCCTTTATTCTCTCTCCTTAAACTCTTCTAGAGTTCCTCAAAGAAGTCAGGAAAAGAAGATCTAAACTTTAAATACACCATACAAGACAGCTATGAATCTGCTAATCAATGAAATCTAGCATGTCATTCATCTATCTCTGTTCTTGGGGTGGTCTGTACTTAAGAGTACTCTTTTTTGTTTCTTTACCTAGCTGTATTGTTCTTACATTTTGAGGTTTAGCTCCAGGAGTTGAGGTACGTCTCCATAATCTCACTTAACTACCATGTATCTTTCTCTATATCAAATGTATCACAGGCATTTCTATAGGTGTACCTACATGACAGGTATTTCTCTTGTGATATAAATAGCAAAGGTATATTCTCTAGCATAATGACTCAAGCTTATTGTTATTGGCTGGTGTTGCTGTTAGCTGCCATCAAGTTGTCATCACCCTGACTTACAGTGACCCGGTGCACTACAGAATATGGACTGTTTTGATCCACAGGGTTTTCATTAGATGATTTTCAAAAGTACACTGTCAGGTCTGCCCTCCTTCTACATGTTAGTCAAGAAACTCTGCTGCAGCTTCTTTTGTTCCATAGCATTTGGCAACCCTCCTCTGACAGATAAGAAAAGCTACACATGAAGTGAGAATTCTCCACATGGAAGTGGGGACTCTATCTCATTAAACTACCACTACCCTGTATTTTTCTAGATTAGCCACCCACCTATTATCAGTGGCTTGTCAATATCATCCACTGTAATGTAAATTTCTTCCTCCTCCCACCAGAGGAAAGCAGAATGCAGACACCACTATCATAAATTTATGCAGCCTAGTTTCCCACATTTGGGGAAATCTCAAGGGTCAGCACATCAGGAGTGCAATAGATAAGCTTCACCTCCAGAGTGATAAGCTTCTCCACAGGAAAACCATAGTTTCTCCCCTGCCAGATAAGTAAATATAATGTAAACATCTTGATGGCCAAACTATCTCATCTTGGCTGTTTCAATAGGTAGCAAAGCTTTATAATAAATAGTAAAAGATTTTTGTTTCTCCAATGTCAGTTGTATTTATATAAACTTTGATAATTATATAAGCAGTCTACTTGGGATAATGGAAATATTTCTAAGAAGTGAAAGGACTGAGTAAAATAAGTTCATTATATTAAAAAGCATATTTTTATACACAGCAGCATAATCGCAAAAAACACACTCAAGTATTAAGATGCCATCCTTTAAAAGTCTACTGCCGAGGCATTTAGAGATCATAAGATTAACCAAACAGAGCAATAAAACCAAGTATGGCATGCATTTTCTCAATGATATAAAATCTAATAATACAGAAGCACACATTTTGCATCCATTGTTGCTCCCGGCAAAAAGAGAAAAAAGACAGGGAAGGTGGGTCGGGGAAAGAGGGACTTTCTAAATTCAAGACATAAATTTGGCTTCTTTTTTTCCTGAATGCAGATAAAAATTTATTACTTTACAAAAATATAGTAACAGATATCTTTTTAATCTGAGTTTATTAACATGAACATAAATCATGACACTGAGTTAGTAAATGTAAAATAAATCCTAAAAAAGCTACAGGGTACGACACGATATGAATATAAATAAATACTTTATTTCAAATAACCTGAAATAGGCCAGTGGCATCTGTAAGCAAACAACACAAATGAGAAGGGTTTTTTTCCCCCTTTACCTCCACTATTCCTAGAGGAATCAGTAAGCACCACACCAAAGTTGTTGCTTGCAGCTTCAGAATCAGCAGGATGTTTAGGGATGCCTCTGGGTGGAGCGGGAAATTGGGCATTTTTTGAAGAGGCTGTTTTCTCTAGAAATGTTTAAAAATAGATATTGTAGCATAAGCTATCTATATAGAAAGTAAGAAAAGATAGTTGTAAAACTTCCAATGATATAAACATAAATTCATGAATTTACCTGAACAAAATCTAAAGATAAGATTTACATTGTAAACATTTCATTAATCTGAGAATATGACTTTAAAAATTAGTACCTTTAAAGGGAAGTAAAAATGTGTCTTTTATTAACAACTTAAAGTCTGTTGACACATGAGAACAACAGTGGAGAAGCCCCAGTGTCAAGTGAAGGTTTTTACCATATATGTTTAATTCTAAAACAAAATTCTTATTAAAGAGTTTCAAGTAAGCTCACAGAAAAGTTTTCAACCTAAGTTGTAAAACTTGAAAAGGTAAAATTGTTATTTTTAAAAAAAACCCAAAAATGAAACATTAAAATATATTCTAATTATTCAGTACTTGTTAATTAGGCCCTACAGATGAAAGGATCTTTTTCAAAAGCTAGTACATTGTTTCTTTTCAATTATCACACCTCCTTTTTATCATTATGCCCCATATTCTCTTCCATCCAATTTCTATCTCCACCAAGAAAGTTTTGTTTTTTTTTTTAGGCCAAGCTATAATGACACCCTTTCAATCAAGCCTATCCTCATTATTTACCCTGGGGTGGGGGGAACAAACCAGCCCTCTCTTTGTTTTCTTGCAGGTTTGCATCATAAACTTCTTATATGACTTATCCTACTTCTGGTCTCTGCTGACACATTTGCCCTTCTACAGACAGACAGATGGATGAAGTTAAGCACAGCACACTAGGATCCATTACGATACAGGAAAGAGTAGAGTTTTGTTCTGCTGTACACAGGGTCGGAGATGACTCCACAGTATCCAGCAACAGCTATAACCCTCAGTACCATCTGCTGACAAATATGGCATCATGCCACTGCTTGGAGTAAAGGTCAGTAATGCTCCCACCTCTCCTCCAAGTAAAGGCTACTTCCAGTCGATAGTCTATAACACTCAGTTGGCTATGCTTTCATCCTGCTGGACACCTCTCCTACTACAGCTTGCTCTTTTATTGTGGTCCAGTAACTCTGGCCTCCCTAAGGCTCTTGGGTGTTCAAGAGCTTCTAATCCTCCAGTTTCTGCTGGGAAGCTCTTTCCCTGAGCATCTGCAGGGTCGTCTGCTCTGTGGGAGAAGGATGGGAAATCTTCTCTTAGGTGATTTACCTCCTGTGAAAACCTGCTGGAAGGTCAGCTATGAGTCAGTTCACTGAAGACTTCTTCAACCATGTACTTAAAATTGTAAGATCTCCTATCCCACATGTCTCCTGTACCCATGACTTACCATTTTGTCATGTACTTAGCTCTTGATTAGAAATCTTTTCTAAGCCTCAGAACTTGACAAAAGGTTACTTTTTACAAAAGTCAGGATCAATGTGATGGCAGAGGTTAATTAGGCCAAGAAGCTCCATGAGAGCAAAGAGCTTTGCCTCTTTTATTGAATGTCTGGCACAAGTAAGGTATTCATAAATATCAGCTATTCTGAATGAAAGAGGCTAAATTCTGAAATAAGAGATTTGTCCTGTGTACAAAAGAAGAAATTAGTGCCCACTCCTGCACTGACTAAATTTACAACTGTGACTGAACTCATCTTTCCATCTCCACCAATTTCACAATTACAACTATAATTGAAGCCACTATGTTAATCCAGTTTGTTAAGGATTTTCCTCTTTCTCACTGACCCTCTACTTTATAAACCAGATGTCCTTCTCTAAAAATTGACTGACCCCTCCTGATAACATACCCAAAGTATGATAACATGCCCAAAGTATGAGATAAAATCTTCTCACCTCTAAGAAGAATTCTGGCTGTACTTTTTCCAGGACATATGTGTTTTTCCTTTTGTTGCATTTATGTATTTTTGCCTTACCTCTCTAAGATAAGACACAATCCACCAGAACAAATCATGCCTTCTTCATCACCTATCCTAATGTCTTACATACCAAACCGCTTAAAAAAATGATATGGATGAAATAATGCAATCACTCTAGTGTGGTCAAAAAAGGTTCTATAATAAGAATACTTAATAAATTTAAATATAAAAATTTATACCATTCATAGGGATTCAAGATAACAACTAATAATTAATATCAAAATTGCCAGTTCATTCTCCTTAAAAAAGCTCATGCTCACCTTTGCTGGTTCGGAAAGTGAACATGGCAGGCTGTCCTTCTCCTGCTGCACTTCTTGCCACCATCAAGACTTCATAGAGACTAGATGGCTCCAGTTCTGATAAATGGAGCTCATTTTCACTTTCCGGGACTCGGACTGTGTGCCAGCTTCCCACCAAAGCAACAGCATCGTCAAGCTGCAAAAGAGAAAACAAACCATTAAAAAAATAAAGAAAATAAAAAACAACCCAGAAAATCAGGAGCAAAAAACCTTTTCAGTCAAATTTGAGAGTCCCTGGTGGGGCATGCTCAGTTAGTTAGTAGCTTTACTTTGCCATCTAAGGGGTGATTAGGAGTCTGAATCAACTCAACAGTAACAAGTTTGGTAAATCTTGTCAAGAGATTTGACAAAAACAAGAACCAATTTAATTTGAGATGAATTTTGGAAAGTAATACAGCGTTGTTAGCACAACAGATACAAAATTATAGTAAGAATATAAAGAGACATCTGTATCTACATCAAGAATTCAGAATTAGTACTAAAAAGATTTTATACTTAGCACCAACAGATGGCCTCAAGCACGATATTTTATACCTACAGACTGTTTTCTTTATTTGTAATATAAATAATAGCTCCTTTATTAATGAATTAATTACAAGAGAAGGATGGACAAGCTAAAATAATCTGTATAACTGGTATTATATAATACATAAATATAAGCAAAATAAAATTGGCAAAAAATAAGGCCCCAGGAATAGATGGTATACCAATTGACATATTTCAGCTAACAGATGCTGCCCTGGACATGCTCACCAAGTTGTGCCAAGAAATCT